AAGCTTCCAGAAGACTGGAACAAGTACATTCCCAACAAGGAAGAACAACCTACTGCATCCACTGCTTCCAGGAAATCTGCTGGTGTGATAACCAATGCCCTGGGACAGAACATCAATTCGTTCTTGATCGGGACTGGGGATCTTACGCCCTCCTGCAATGTCGCCTACAAGAACAAAGTCGACTTCCAGTCTGTAGGTGCCACTAGCTTCTTTTCCTGATGCCACTTTCGGTTACTTACATGCACTTCAGCCTGACCTCCAAACTGTGTGTGGTCTGACCGGAGACTACAGCGGTAGATACATTCACTACGGTATCCGGGAGCATGCCATGTGCGCTATCTCCAACGGGCTTGCTGCATTCAACAGAGGCACCTTCATCCCCATGACGAGTACATACTTTGTCTTCCATCTGTACGCCGCTGCCGCTATCCGCATGGCCGCACTACAAGGCCTCCAGCAGATCCACATCGCCACCCACGACAGCATCGGAGTCGGCGAGAATGGACCTACGCACCAGCCCATCGCAGTTGCTGCGCTATGGCGTGCTATGCCTAACCTACTCTACATCCGCCCCTGCGATGCAGAAGAAGTTGCAGGCGCTTACAACGCCGCCATTCGCGCGACTGAGACACCGACTGTCATTTCCCTATCCCGTCAGGGTTTGACCCAGTATCCTCAATACTCCTCACGCGAAGGTGTAATCAGAGGCGCGTACGTTTTTGCTGAGGCAGAGGGCGACGACTTTGACGTCACCATCATCGGAGTCGGCTCAGAAATGGTATATGCGATGCAGACCCGCGAATTGCTTCTTAAGGAATATGGTCTCCGCGCACGGATTGTCTCATTCCCTTGCACAAGGCTTTTCGAGCAACAGTCTCGAGAATACAAGCACTCTGTATTGAAGCCTCGCGCCGGCAAGCCAACTGTCGTGATTGAGGCTTACCCGTCTAACGGATGGGAGCGCTATGCTGATGCATCCGTGTCCATGAACTACTTTGGAAAGAGTTTGCCTTCGAAGGATGCATATGCTCATTTCGGGTTTGTGCCAGACCGCATCGCAGTTAAAATCAAGGACCTGGTAGAGGAAGTCAGACGGGACGGAATTGATGTCTTGAGGGGCGATTTTAGAGAGTTCAACGGGGGCCACTGGATTGAACTTCAGCATTAGAACTGTTTATGACTCTTGTAACTTTCCCTTAAATTTGCGATTGAGATTGCCTGTAAAGGGTGAGGATCCGATCGTGCTTACTCAATAATGATCAGTTCTCACAATGAGGTAATTTGCTTGTACAATAAGGGCTTGCTACACTCAGTGCAAAAAAAAAAAAAAAAAAAAAAAAAAAAAAAAAAAAAAAAAAAAAAAAAAGAAAATAAAACAGCCAGATTAGACATCAGGTGATTTACACGATGGAGGAAACCATTTGGTAGGTTGTGAGTGCTACGCAGTGGTGTGCCTATGCATTTCAAGGATGGCTCCAAATCTTATTGAGCTGACTAAAGCAATCCATGTATTCTATCTTCACACTTCCTGAACTCCCTCCGGTTCCTGAGGAATCTTTCGATCTGTGGATCGACTTATGGTTCGTATTTCGGGGGTAGCATCTGTTGGATCACATCAAATGCCGGAGGCTCGTCAAGACAGTATGTCTCCATCGCGTCGACATCATTGGCAAGCTTGTGTATTCGCAGCGGAAATATTGCACCGTACAACTTAGCGATGGGTTTCCGGTCCAGTCTCTTATTCGTTCTGCCACTGAAGGTGTCCTCCCGGGTTATAAGCTCGACCTTCAATTCGTGGTTGATAGCAATTCCTGGAAGATCGGCCAGTGGAAAAATATTCCGTGAATCGTCACTGCCACAGTAACTCTCACAGATTTCGTCTGCAGCATTTGCACTTTCCGGAATCCTGATTTCGAATTCGACCCGTAAGCAGCCATCACGCAGGCAGCTCTGATCCGAGCGTTGAAATATGACTTTCGGGCATCGGGGTTCGAGCTTTCCTTCTATCAATGACCGTTTCGACGTCGTTGTAGTGTTAGCAAAGTCCTGCATCTCACAATGGGCTATATTACGGCGCATAGCTACTTCGTCGACCCTCCACTTGATTGCTGAGATAGCTATATATTTCATTTCACCATCTCGGGCAGCTGGTGTCAGCAAATTCCGAATTGCTAGCTCCACGGAGAACATCGCTTTGGTAGTCGCATCTTTTGGTCGTTGCTGTGATATCGTAGTTTGAATCATCAGAGGGGAGGCAGTGAACCGTCGAGAATAGTTGCTGGGGAAAGATGGTGGTTGTATCAAACGATAAAGAATGTCAAGGGTCTTGGACACACTCAGTTTGCGGCCAGACTCAAGGTCAATCGTGGCCTTGAGGTAGTAATCGACTGTCCCTAGCTCGGTTTTCATCGTTGGAGGGAGGCAGTTCGGCACCGGAATATTGAAGTAGTAGACCACACCATCTTCCGTGTCTGTATTCCGACATGACACGAGTTTGTCAAGTGCGGACCAAAGAATACAATTCAGAACAGTCTCTTCGTAGCCCGGCGCTATAAATTGCTTTGTCGTGGACTGTCGATATCGAAGAGTACTCCGCCAGCGACCATTGAGGTTTGTGCGAGATGAGCTATGGCCATCGAATTTCACTGATCGAACAAGACTAATAGTGATATTGCGTGCACTATCTGTCATGTCCATGTCCATGGAAGCCTTCCTTGAAAGTCGAACGGAACCCGGCAAAGACGAAGTATATGGTTCGATGCCCGGGCGGATGAAAATGGTGTGGGATTGGGGCGTATCGAGACGTAGATGAGAATTGCTCATTGTGAGCAAACATGAATCAACTAAAAGTCGTCTGTAAAGCTAGCCGAAAAGTCTGGTTGGGGGAACATCGAGAGCGCATCTCAACGATATGTGAAGCCATGCGAGATGCGACGATTCCAAACTACAGTACTACGTGAGTGCACTAGACCCGATTAAGAAGCCAAGCCGTAAGTTTAAGGTTTACATTTCGCAGCCGTAATGCCTGAGTCATCAAAGGCCCGCCCGACACCAGAACTACCTCGCTCTCTGGATATTGCAGAGATGCGGCTCACAGCTAATCTGTTCATACCTCGCAAAACATAAGGCGACACAGAGACTCCAGTCACTGTATCTCCCCACTGGCATCTGCTCATATCGTATGCCTTCCACCATCTCAGGGTGGACCTAGTATACCATCCACTCTGAGTTCAGTGCCAGGTTTGCTGGTGGCGTAGTTTCAGCCTACTGATCAGCGTTCAGAGGGAATGGTTGGTGCCGTCGGCTATCATGGCGATAGACAATATGCCTTGCCTTGATTTAAAAGGATACAGATTTAGGCTTATGAAATGGCAGTATTTCACTTCCCCTGCGGATGTGTATACTATCCATCCGATGTCTGCACAAGGTCGGTGACAATAAGGTGTGGGTAGGCAATGCTCTGCTATAAAAAAGTACCAGGTGCGGCTGCCATAAAAACAATGCGTGCAATGGGAAATTCTCAAAGAACAAGGAGATGAAGGCGTTCCTGAGAACAGGGCCATTTTACCAACCTCTGCTCTTGAAGGCCATTGGAAAATTACTCGACCCATGCTATAGCTTGAGCCCAGCTAGGATACCGTCATGAATAAGCGGCATCATATTATTGTAGTTACTCACGCGAAGTAGCAGTTTCAATTCATAAACAAAGAACACAACATACATATGACGGACATGCGCCGGGTACGGTGATTAGATCATTGAAATACATATCAGTGAGGTTGTCCACACAACATGGGACGACATCTATTAAGAAAGATCGATGAATATACATAATACATTTTCAACATTGCTTTCGTTTGCATATGAGACGAGCAGATCTCCAAGTTATACCTCTAACCACTTTGACCGGAGTCTTCTTCTCCTGCCAGCAGTGCCCAGAACAGCTGTTCGTTCTCGACATCCTTTGCATCTTGGGCCAGAAATGCAGCGCAGTGATTACTTCTGTGACGTTGATCCCATGCTGTGGTCAAGAATTGGGGCAAGAGCAGCTAGTATGACCTAGCCATTTCCTGTGTCCAACTGATTACAGTAATCAGAGAGAGGTCTAGCAGGGACACATGCGGGTTCAAAGTATGGTAATTTGGTGATTTGAATAAAATTAATTCCACACTGTGGATCTTCTCACGAGCAAAGAGCTCCACGATGATGACTGATAGGCTTGGGGAAGCTTTATTAAAGCAAAGGTAGAGTGAGATGCCGAAATCTGCAGTGTTGTAGATACATAGACCCTAATAATAACACAACAAACCAGTATCTTTCGAAGGCAAAGATGCCTATAAATTGAATACGTATTTTTGATTGTAGCTCGGTGGGTAGGTCAGTGGCTAGGACACTGGACCAGAGCCCACACGTCACAGAATACAATAAGATCCAAAAATGTGTAGTGGCAAATTTTATCCTTAATGGTCTGCTTCTGCATGGATCAATGTGACACGGGATGCCAGGAGGACCAGGCCTTGCATGTATTGAAGCATGTACCCGGCCAGAACTGGAAGCACACAGATGATCTGCAGGATGCAGCATGGCAATTGGTTAGGTTCAACAATCATACAAGATATATCATCCCCTAATGTGGATGATTAAAAACGCCAAAGTCTGCGGTATGCTGGCTGTGTAAGTCAAATGACTCATCTCCCCAGTCGAGAATGGTAAAACACCCAGCAATCGTTCAGCGACCGTATAAGTTAGGCATGTCACTCGAGGACACAACGGAAGCCTCACCGCATGACAGCCACTTCAACGCCTTGCAGGCATGTTCTACCTCATGCCATAAAAAGAGGGGTTTAGAATACAGCCTAGAATATATATCTATCGATGCAATACTAACAAGCTCATATTTCCATTCTATAGTAAAATGAACCTAAAGAAACGATAAAACTCGAATTTCACGACCTATCCAGGATGATTGGGCCAAAACGTCAATCTTCTAGCCTTGTCTGTTAATGCTTGCTAAGATAGAAATATACCACTCCGGCTTCATCTTCCTTTTTGGACCAGTGAGCACCGGCAATGGTGTGTTCATTGACATAGCGAAGGTAGTCTACCCGTGGATGATCATCATATATCAGAGCCGCAGAGCTAACACCGCGATAGGTAATTTCAGATAGCTTCAGCCATTCAGAAATTAGTTCATGGTCAATAAAAATGCAATCATGAAGACGTGGCAGACATGTAAGAGGGAGGACCGAGATTTGGTGCAAAGACTCACAAACATATCACCCCAATCTGGAAGAGACTTCCTTATTTTACCATCCAGTGAATACTTTGTCACGGATGTTCTGGAGTGGACAACCTTGATCAGAGGTAGCAATTTCTCTGCTACCGAATCTGAAGGGTGTCCACTTCGGAGTATGTGAGCCTCCCATTCACCGAGCAGAACGTCCGGCTGTACCCCTGGTAGATGATCGAAGACATCTTGTAGCTCTGATGAATCAAAACAGTCTTGTTGCTTGATTAAGGAGAGAAAGTATTCCTCAACAGGCCTGTGAGAGTTATGTGTTAATACCGTGGATCCCGTTTTGTTTGAGTGTAGTGGAGGGAATGATACATTTGCGGCTTAGTAACTGTCATGTTGGGCATGTACGTTGGGGAAGTAGGGACTAGGAATGAAGCTGCGGATTATCGGTTTCCTGGTATGGGCTATTGAAGTATCCTTCCACAAGTGAACGTCGTCAATGAAGTTCTGCCTTCTAAATATTGGCAGCTAATGAGACGGAACAAAGCCTTTATAACTATCATAGGGGTAACATGGAATCCTGTTTTAGTGTTACAAGGCCTAGGCTACAACGTATCCCTCGTGATATTCCTTCGGTGAAATGATGTCAATGAGGAAGCATATTTTCAATAAAGTCTTACCATCATCCAGGAAGTCGAAGTCTTCTGATCTACTACTGAGGAAAAAGCCGGATTTTTACATGCTAGTGACGGTATACATCCATAAATTGTGAACCTATTTCCCTGAAGGTATGCTGCAGGTGAATGGTATAGGTAAAACTAGAAATGTAGGGCCGGTCTTTAGTGAAAGCTTACCCTGTTTGCAGGTGAGACTAAAAAGTATTGATTTCCGTCAGGAGCGCCAGAGGCACCTCTCCAGGTGAGCCCTGCAAACCGGTTACAGTACCAGATAGAGAAGTAAAGTTTCGAGCCATTTGGTTTGGTAGACACATCCTTTATATGCTGTGTCTTCCTATAGGCGACTTTAGCACGACCACCTACAGGCTGTTGCGGTGGGATATCTCTCATACTACATCCTTAACTCTTAGTAACGACTTGAAAGACTATCTCCAATCGAGACAATCTCCTATTAATTCCATTTCATACAGATCAGATTGGCATCCAAAAATTAGGGTGAACCGATAAAGTTTGCTCTTAACCATGTTCACCCAGCCTTGAATGGTCTATTCCGCTTACAAGTGGTGACTATTCCAAATGAGAGGTTCTTACCACAAGAATAAGCTGGCAAGATCGACGAGTGTTAAGTTTCCAAATCCATAAAGAGCCTTTTTCATTACAAGATGGTTTGCGATGAATGCCGGAGATATAACTGGGTATAGATTCAGTCGAGTAGTCATTGGATAGTATAAATCATGACCTTAGTCACCATTACTTAAGAAATATTCTCTAGATTATTTTGTGTCTATTAATCTATATCTTCCTAGGAAAAAGTATATTCTTATTTAAAAGAAATTAATATATATTATTAAATTGTATTTTAAATATGTTTATAATAATAAATATACTGAGAAAATAACTCCTTTTTACAAAATTAATAATTTACTAGTTTCTGAGATACTATATGCAAGTAGTATACTGGACTTTATATTAATAGATAGAGAAGGCAGTAGAGTAACAGAAAGCTAGGCAGCTGGATATATTAAAATAGCTTTATAATATTACAGCTAGATAGTACTTGTATATAAATATAATATAAATAAATTTAATAAATAATTTATACTATATTAATCTTCTTACTAATATTATTTATAATCTAGTAGTAAATTCAGACTATCATCTGCCTCTGCTGATAAATTCTATTTGTATAGTCACTGACAGTGCCTGTTACTAGATCAGTTTCGCCAGATGAATTTCCTGGATAGTCTGATAAAGGCAGGTAAATCAAGAATTGGATCCGCTGGGCCAGAGTGCGTAGCTCCTAGCTTGTACATTGCTCATCACCACTCTCGACCTCGTCGCGCTTGTTATCACTAAAACTAGCACTTATTGTTTTAAAATTATTCAGCTTGGCTGCAACGCTATGCCCTGGACGAGATCACCTTCACGGACACAACACTAGTCCCAAAGGATGTCAGACTCGCTGTCTCCACCCACAATATAAAAAAGTAAGAGTGTATATATCCGAATGCGCACACTTACGACGAATACCAGTTTCATCCAAAGTGGCAAGAGCTATGTGATGAAAACAAACACTGATTGGCGAAGACAGCCCGATAGAGCTGGCAAAAATAATAGATGGTCGTAGAACATAGACTGAGGTACGTCAAAGAAACGGGTCACAGTCGAGACATATTCGGGGGGGAGGAGAGACGTGGTGTACGACAGAGTCCAGCGGAAGTAATTTTGAAATCACCAGGACTAATGGCATATGGCGAGTCGATAATGCCGCACGATAATTTGAGCCCCTATATAACATGCTACTAAACCAAACGCTATTCGGTGGAAAGAGCCACGAACGCGGCTCTTCCTCAAAGAATTATGGCGATGATCTATGACCTTTCAGGAATTTGTTACAGACAGGAACAGCTATTTGAGGGGAGAAGGACAACTTGTGACTTATTCTATATGCGACTAACCCTGTCAATCTCATTGCATAATGTTACAGTGATGTTTGTGTGGTACCAAGCGATCATCCAAGTACTAGAGATCATGCGCACTATGTGACTGTGATTTCGCTCTCTTTTTCTTTACCGTGGACCGATAGAAGACCAGAACATTATGGCACTCAGATGTGAAACAGAAAAGCATTTATATGATAGCTTCCTCCAATTTCTCCCCGATTATAGTCACTCCTTGGTGTATAGATCACGGCTCTCATCCGCCTTGTCCCTGAAATCATTCTTGTCATCAAGATTCAACAAAAGGATCAAGTTTTATTCTCTTTCAACGCTAGAATTAGTCGCGCTGAGGGCAACACCACTGACAATTGAAAGTTACATAAAAATGGTGGATGCAGAAATCTAAAACATAAGATAGTCTTCTATAAACCAGATACTGATATTAAGCCAGATTATCCAGCCGCCAACTGCCTGTACGGCTGAATAATACCAGGCCCAAGTCGCTGAGGAGCATGGAAGCATAAAGAAAGCACTACAGATACTTATTATTAAAAGCTCACAAAATAACAGCCGCCATAAATACAAAATACAGCCACGCGCCGCCCGACTCTGTATACAGAAATTTCATCTCCGCCGAAAACGAAACCTTCCCACAAGTCACGTAGGCGGTTGGACAAAGCAGCAACTGCAGGACACCACAGAGAGCAATCATAAGCTCTATCATCATCAGAGCTAGGCAATAGAGATAGAGTATAGTCTTTAGTCCAGGAACAAGAAAAAAAAGCCACATCGCTGGGAATAGACAGGTCAAATATAAGGCAGAAGGAGTTCGAGGAAGTAAAACAAGTATTGATAAAAGCTCTGGGAATGAAGGGGGGGAGGTCAAGGATGAGGGTGCATAATCTCTCGTGGTCAACAATAAAATATAATAGCGGGAGATCTGAAGGTTCACCCGGTTTAAGTGTTGGTGAAACCTACATGGAAGTGAAACCTTCACCACTAGGGCCCAAACAGTAAATTTCATGAGTGGGCATCTCTACAAAGCAGAAGCGCCGATCCAGATGCTCTGCAAACAACACCTCGGGCTCATGACCAAGTAACATGTTGTTAAGTTGTGTTTTGCTTGTTGCTCAGCTCATCCTGATAACATTAGTCATTATTACCCTAGAAATACTCTCTAGAATATTTTATATTTATTAATCTGTGCCTTTTTAGAAAAGAATATATATCTTTTTGTAAAATATTAATAAACTATATTCTAAATATATTTAAAATGATAAATATACTGATAAGATAACTATAACTATTTTTTTTAAGATTATTAATTTCACTAGTTTCTGAGGCATCATGTACAAGTAGTATACTAGATTATATATTAATAAATATTAGGAGAGAAGAGAGAAGGGCTGTAATAAAATTATAAAAGACTAGATAACTAGATATAGTAAAATAATTTTATAATATTACAGCTGGTCAGTACTTATATATAAATATAATATAAATAATTTTAATAAATAATTTATACTATATTATTCTTCTTACTAATATTATTTATAATCTAATAATAAATTCAAAGTATTTTCTGCCTCTGCTAATGAATTCCATTCGTATTAGTCACTGACAGTGCCTGTTACTAGCCTTGCCTGATACGCTTGCGGCCGTATCATGGAAGCCTTTGGATCGACCAAATTTCCGGACCCTTTGCTGGCCACTGCTGCTGGGATTAACGCTGTCAAGGGGAGAATTATGGGGCTCAACTCTCCCTTCACCATTGCTAAAATCGAAGAGTTAGCCGCAGCGGAAGTAAAAGCGGATAGTGATGAGGCAGTTAATAATCACACCACGGCCATCCGAAGCGTCAGTCTTGCTCTCTATCACTGGGAATGGGATGAAATGAAATTACTAAATGGCATACTAGACTTTCGGCCTTCTCGAGTACTTCCGTGATCACCGGTTGAACGACGTGGTGATTCAGGCCTTGAGTGAATTCCAGAGCAAAGTCGGTTTGATGAAAATGCCTGCTATAAGTGCGGAAAAGACTACGATTACAGACTGATGCCGGTAGGTATTAGTAGCAGTGGAGGAAACACGATTTAGTGGCTCGAGACAAGTGTATTCAGTCATCGGATTTAGTCCAGATATAGCAGATTATAAAAGTTAACTAGATTATAGTTCTAGAATTATTTACCAAGCCAGAAACTAGGCGGTAACCACGTGATGGGTACTACTACCGAGTGACCTAAATACTTGGGTTACCGACCTCTTTCATTCCACACAACCTTCCTTTTATTTTCTGCTAAGCTTGATTCACAAAAGCCCTGTCCAAATTGCTAAAATGACTATCCTTACTCGGGAGGCTAGCATCATGCTGGAAAGGCATACATACCAAATCCCTAATAACATCAACTGTATCCTGTCGAGAACTCTTCCGTTCTTCGCCCTGCCGCTCATCTGGCATGGTCACCGGTCAGCACTTTATAACACTACTCTACAACCTTACATGAAAAAGAAGACGCTCCAACTTTCTTCTAGGCTCTTATCATCATCATTACCGCGCCCTAGGCGTGGTCCTCAGGACTCTAAACGTACACCATGGTGGCCCCTTAGATGGAATGATGCCGACTTAATCGAGACGAATATGCATGATTTGGGCTTCCAGACGTCGGGTATCGTTATATTCCGTTGCACTTACAAGAGTGACTCTGACTGGGAAGAATTCTTGTCTCGCTCTCTCCACAAGGTTCGGACGTCACTAGAATCTTACCATGGTCTGGAATTGCTTGATTCCTTCAGGCCGCCAATAATTGACGACAAGACACAGTTCGACGGGGTAACTCCGGACAATCTACGGGATCAGTTCAATAGGTGGTCGGCTACCGCGTGTGAAGCTGAGCAAGGAGTTCCACTTACTGAATACCGGTGGCATTCTACGGCACGGTACTGACTTTGCATCATGGTGGATGAGGAATCTTGAGGTCTGTTCTGGACATGCCGCTTGAGTCGCTGGATGAATGGAATAACAGTGGATTCGTGATTCTTGTTAATGGTAGGCATGAGGTGGACCGGGCTAGTATAGAGGAATCTGATGAAAAGATAGAGGATGATGATTATGAGCCTTTACATGGATGCACGTATGAAGATGTTGGCTGGATGAAGGTGTGCTATGATATGGCTCAGGTATATACTTGCGCTCATTTGGGAGCAAGCTCTTGGTGGGAGGAGGACTATAGACGGCCTCCTAAGATTGCCCTTGGATTGATGTAAAGATGTTCTTTCTATGTTAAGGCTATCTTTTATATTTCGCTGTTCTGTATAACCTTGTAGGTTATACATTAAATGCCCAAATATACTGCTTGTGCCAGAGGGATAATACTAATATCATCCTATAGTTGAGATGAATTGTCTGAAGAAGAATAGTAATCAATTAAAACATTTCAATTTTTGGAGTATTTAATATCTTATAAACCGATATCTTACCAGAACTCAATTTACCAAACCCGAATGATTCATGTTGTGAAAGTCTATTAATTCTTGGTAGAATTGAAGAAAATATGGAAAGGATAGAGTAATATGTATAATACTACTTTTCATGTCTGATATATACTTATTATCTATTTATTTGTATTCAAATATCTTCAGAAGCTTCTACAAATCATATGTTACAGCGACAAGGATTAAGAAAACAGAAAGATATATCGAAGTAAGCATTATAAAGAACCAGAGATACATATTAAAGAAATAAAGGAGATATCTTAAAGCAAGTGTTGGAAAGAAACAGGGACAAAGGTTAAAGAAAATGAAGAGGTGTGTTGAAGCGAGCGTTGCAAAGCAAATTGGAGTCATGTATGTGTATTATTGGTGATACAGACTTCTAATGTTTGATCTGGAGACTTTCGTTATCCTGTGGGTATATATGGCCCATCAAGCACGCTGAATGTAGGTATGGGGAAGCCCTTTATCTACAAAACGTAGAACACCAATGTTTGAGAAGTCACTCTAGCCCTAATATGTCTTATGCTGAATATTTCATAAGCAGCAAGGAATGTCAAGGTAATCGCCGAGTTAATATTCTCACCCTAGCCTTAGATCTAAAAGTTCCACTGATTCAACCAATTGACCACCTGAGCCGGTGACACCGAACCGAGTGAGGCCATCGTTTTACTCCCCTTCTTCGACCGTTCCACGCTGATGTCCGCAGACAAGACATCTGCGTTGTCCGCCAGGCCATGGAAGAAGGCTAGAAGCTTCAGTGCGGGTTTATCTTGCACGTCGCGATCGGACGGATCCTGGATGGTTTCGAGATCGGCGACCCAGTCGACGAGAGGCACGGGCTGGACGGCGTATCGCTCTTGGATCGCGGGAATGAGAGAAGCCCAGGTGGTCCGGCATGGATTGACCAGATGGAAGACTGCGTTGCGGGTATCCGCGAGCGAGGCGCGGCGGCCGAGGACGAGTTCGTTTACGATTTGCGCTAGGGTATCCTGGTTAACTTAGTCAGTGACATTCATTACGGATAGGTTAGAAAGTAGGAGATAGGGTGAGGTGCGCACCACTGACACCCAGTCGATGGGGTACCCCCCGAGATCAGACGGCACTTTACCCGTCGCCTTTGATGTCTTGATCAAGGACGGGATCCACTCGTGCGGATTCCACACTCCCAAGCGCGTGTCGGGACCAGCGATCTGTCCGACGCGCAGGATACTAGTCGGCACACCGGCCGTCTTCGAAGCCTCCACGCAGATGCTCTCCCCGATATACTTGGACTCTCCGTATCCCTGCTCCAGCGCGGCTTCCGCCGTCTCCATCGGAACTTCGGGGACGGCCGTGACCTCGTCGCTGGGCTTCCAGGCCCCAATCGTGCTGACTGAGGAGACGAAGGCAAGATGGGCCTGGTAGCGGCTCCTCTGGCTGAAGCGCACGAACTCCCGGACACCCTTGAGATGCGGGTCCTCGAAGGAGGACACGGGATGGTTGAAGTTGACCTTCCATGCATTGTGGATGATCACGTCAACCGTTTTAAGGAGCTCTTTGTACTGTCGGTCGGAGAGGCCAAATTGGGGTTCTCCGAAGCGGACATGCAGGAACTCAACCTTGTTGGGATCGTCCAGAGGAGAAGTCTGCAGTCCCTTTTCCTGGAAGCCTTCCTTCTGGCGCGTCGAAGAATCCTCACTTCGGTTAAAGCAGTAGACCTTTGTTACCTGGGGATTACGCAGTAGGTCGTCAAGGATATAGCTGCCCAACGATCCGGTGGATCCAGTGAGAATGACAGTGAATAAGGCAGGCAGTTGAGGAAGGATATCAGATTTCCGAGTGTGAAGATCATTCGTATACTTGATGATCAACTGCGCAATCTTATTGGAACGAGATACGGTAGCAATCGCACTCGATGTTTCGTCAAGGATCCCCAACAATAGATTAGTGAGTCCCTCTGTAGTTGGGTGCGCATAGATCTGCTGCACATTGAGATGGTCGGTGTTCAACTCCGGATTGTAGGAGAAGACCGAGTTCTTCACAATCTTGCTCAACTGGATTGCCTGGAGTGAGTCCAGGCCCATGCTGTAGAGATCGTCACTCGGTTTGATGCTTTGCCTTCCTGTAAGCTTGCAGATAACGTTTTGTAGATATTCACAGACAGTGTCCGGGGTGATCGCTGATGGCAGGCCCATCACCAGTTGCCTATCTTGGGCAGCGTAAATCTCCTCAATTTCCTCGGCATAATCCTGATTCACGGTATGCCGTTGTGTGGTACCTTTCGCGGTGAGTTTGAAGGGTTTCTCGCGAGATGAAAGGCGGATCATGGTTTTCACGACCTTGCCGTAATCAGGAACGGTCTTGTTAGCCGCCTGAACCACTGGCCAAATCATGTTCACAAACTCCCTCTCGTCGATAGGAGTGGTAACCTTCTCGATATCCGGCTCGACCAACAAGCATGTCTGGAATTTGCGTTGGCCGATAAGCAAAGCCCGATGAACCGAAGGATGGCCTTCCACGATCTTCTCCAACGAGATCGGGTTCAGTTTCTCTCCGTTGCTGAGCACAATCACATCGTCAAAGCGCCCATGATACTTCCAGAGCTTCGGCTTGGTTGGGTGCCGGGTGTAGAGATCTTTGGATCGATACTCTTTCAGACCCGGGAACGTGTGAAAGATTCCATGCATCACGAGAGAATGTTCCACCCGTGGTATAACCAGCTCGTAGAGCCCGTCCCCGATCGGTTGCATATCAATCTGATAGGAGGGATTCCACTCGAAATACCCCCAGGCGTCCTCTCCTTCGGGGACCATAGAGCAGATGACCCCCATCTCGCTGGATCCAATGGCCGACCGTAATTGGACATATCTACCAAGCTTCTCGCCCACTTCTGGCGAAATAGGAGCCCCACCATAACAAACAAACTTCAGGGTGCTGAGGCACGTGAGAGCCTCATCAGAAAAGCTCATGTCTTCAAGGATTGAAGGTGGAAGAATTGTGACTGTCGGCTTCGTGTGGCGAATTAGATCGGTCAGAAACCCCACGGAAAGCAGCCTTTCAGGGCCTGCAACGAAGGGGATGTTGTGGAAGATAGACTCGAAGAACGAGACCAGCCCCATCAAGTGGAAATACGGTGTGGACGAGAGAACAAGGTCCTTGGGGTTGGGATCATCAGAAGCCAGGTCATTAAAGAAAGCGGAAGACCGCCCCGGAGGCATAGGAATCGATACGGCAAAATCCATCGTACCCAGAAAACCATGGGTGAGAGGAACGGGCTTAGGCATGCCTTACTGAAATCGTTAGATCTACATCTCTTAAGCTGTTTGGGGATCAGTCACTGCATACGTACCGGTTGTTCCAGAACTATGGATCATAAAGGCAATCTCGTCCACCACCTCATCATAGGTCTTGGAGAACTCAAAGTGACTCGTGTCACTTGCATTCCTCAGGATGTCCGCCACAGATGGCACCTCTTGGAATTGCATTTTCCAATCCAATTTTCTCAATCTGAAAGCAATTGGAGACTTTTCTCGGCTGAAAAGTAGGTGCGAACACTTTGTTTCCATGAGAACATGGTTATATGCATCATCCGACAGCCGAGTGGAAGGTAGAAAGATCTAGGAGTGAATCCAAATATTGATGGTTAATGGCAACTCGTAAATTTGACACCCGGATAACAAACCGTATAGCCTGTCTTATGACACGCAAGCATAAAAATGATGTAGCGCACATCGTTGTTCCCCAGATATGCGATCGTTTCTCCCGGTTGCGGCTTGCCCAGAGTGTCATCGATCCACCAGGACATGGCATTGACTGCGCGGGAGAGATCCCGGAGAGTCACCTCCCGGAATCCTTGGCCAACTTCGGTGCCATTTGGAATCAGGCCAAATCGTCTATTAGGGGATTGCTTGGCAATAGTATCAACGTGGGTCACCAGAAGCCTTCCCGGAGCTTTGAATGCTCCTGGTGTTGAATTGGTGATACCGACCATGGTCGCTCGAAACGGACGTCAATTGGATGGGTGCTTTGTGCCTTGAACGCAGGCTGTGCTTAGATACAGGAATGACAAAAGGAAATAATCGTTGGAAAAAATAGCATCGATGCTTGCACTTCTGCCTCTTTAAATATCCTGAGGGACAGGGCGCTATGTACGGACGGGCGCGTTGAGGCATTTTCCTTGTTTTCCCATCCTGTATTCTGGATCCATCGCTTAGGTGGTATACTGTCCATTATCAGCGCAATAGTGTAGCTCCCTAGTGCAGATCAGGCTTGGTTTCCGATAGAGTTGGTTACAGAGATTCAGGTAAAGTGGTTATACACAGGTTCGGGTGCATAAAAGTTCCACTGAAATAAGTGGGGTCGGCTAATACTGCCGAGCCGGGGTACTTGGAGATAACTTGTACACCCAATGCAGTGCATATTTATACTAAATGAACACTGAAATAATAAAACAAGCTGCTAATGCGTCACGTCACAATGCCTCAACATCAATGTCCAATACGGAATAATACTGCGGGAACAAGCTCTTATGGAAACAGTCTACAATCCACTGGACATTTACGCCTGATTGGTGCAGCAAGCGAGGACGGATACGCCCGATACTTGAGTTTCTTCATACACTTTCAATCAACATAAGCCGAACAAACAGAGAATGAGATCCACCGAAAATAACCACGAAGCAATGTCTATCTACTAGCTAGTTTGCTCTCCATAGTGGCGGCCCATTCGACCGCATTTCTTCTGAACAACCAGATAATTCCGGTATTCGCCTAGCCGATGACCGCCAAGCCAGTGCAGATCCATCTATCAGGCAAAATAATGCAATAGTAATTAAAACTAGATCTGACTGGCTATAAAATATAGGATAGCTATAATACTCCATCTTAGAGTGGCTATACCTGATCGTTTAAATACTTTAATCATAACCTGACTGTTAACCGGCAGTCAAATTAAGATATAAAAGTTCTTTTAGCTATAAAGAATTAACGGTTTCCAAATTACTTATTGATTTTTAATCAGTTAAATTAAATTTCCAATAAAATTAAAGCCCAATTTTATCACATTACCAAACTACTCTATAAATAAATAAGTATGGTGTCGCGCGCAATAAACTGTTTGGTTAAGTATATCTGTAAATTATAGCTATTCATTCATCATAACCTAAAAAGCGATTTCTATAAACTGCGGAAGTGAACCCGGCAGATGGAGAAAGAATAAAGCAAAACAGAAAATGTGTTCAGCACTGAAAAAAGTGATTCCGACTGACATACTGGCTGGATGTGTCAGCACTGGAACTTCGCGGGTATCCTTAAGAAATCATTTACTGCTTGACTTCTTTCCTTATACCACAATTCATTAATGCCCGGCGGCTCAGCCGGAAAGGCAACTATCACTGATCTATCAACACGAACTCTAATATACATCTGCCAATAGTCACGACCTATGGAATGGTACATACAGTACCACACCGTATGAAAATAAAAATTAACTAGTTGATCTTCATAAAGTATATCATGTGATCTTCAGTGGCTGTGGTGTTCTAATGGATGGCGATCCGCCACTGATTGAAGTGTCCAGAATCTTCCGGACATGTAAAAATCAAAATATAAAGCACAGCTATCCAGGCTTTCTCTTTTACATACAGGTTAGAGATATAAAAAGATGAATTTTCTGATTAGAATATAGATTCAACCGGAAGGCGCATAAAATGTAATAAAAAGAACGCGAACAGTCAGATACCCAAGTGCGAATCCATTATGTTAGATAGCATGACAATGAGGTCCACGGAAAGTCATATTACACTTTTACCCGTTTAACGTACCCAAGAGTTCTTCTCAACTAATATATGAGAGCCTTGTTCGTGCTCCATCTGAGTATATCTGGATGAGAAGGCCATCGAGTAAACTGAGTCAGAATGCCCTTTCAGGTTCCGCAGCTGTGAGCCGGTCTGGGCATGTAGAATTAAGTTATACCGGTTGAGGATAAGCGGACTCGTAGATTACTACCTATTTCATTTAAACTAGATCCTGCCATTGATTTTCCATTAGAAAATCTCATGGAGCATATTCCTTCTTTGCCTGTCGTAGTAGATCTACACCACAACCACATCATTTAAGTCAACAAACTAAGACTAAGAGCATAGGACTGCCGTTCAAAATTGTGGCGCATTATGTTATTTTTATCAAATTAGGTCATTATTATCTTACTTGTACAGTACTCCCTTCCAACGGCAACCGAGTCCTCATCTCGAAACGAACAGGATCTTTTGTAACTCCTACGAAAAATTAGCGATTGAAGATGGAAATCGGAGCAAACTTACCTCTGTTCTATCCATCAAAGTTTCATTCGAGTCACCCGCAAGTGTAAAGCTCGCTAGTTGCTGTTTATTCTTTTGCACTCCGAGGATGTTCTAAAAGGCGGTTAGTCACGTGTGTCTGCAGAATTATGCCATGACTTGAATTTGTAACACCTCTTCCACAGTGCGCTGGGCTACATATTTCACTACCGTCACCTCCCTTGACTGGCCGAGCCGAACAGCTCTGCCGATAGCCTGCTCTTCAACCGAAGGGTTCCATTGTGGTTCAAGGATATGGATCCGATTTGCGGCGGTAAGATTCAACCTGGAATAGGGGCATTGTCAGCATCGAAGGTCGCTCGGTGATTAAACGATTAAGGCTAGATGTACCCCACTGCGCCTGTGCCGTATGTCATGAGTAGAATCGTGATTAATGACGAGGTTCGGAAGTCGTGGAGGCGCCGAGTTCGATCTAATCTACTCACATCACCATCGATACGCACGTAGTTTAGCCCCAACTCTTCCATTTTCATGCACAGAATGTCAAGTGTTTTTGTCCATGCGGAGAAAACAATACTATCCAAGTTAGTAATCGGTCGGTACGGCGGTATACATGAAGTGTTTATCCATACCTCTTGGACGAGGAGGCATGCTGTATTAAGTCGTTCAGCAGGGTTTGGAGCTTCGTTGACAGCGGGGGTTCCGTGCTAGTGGACAAAGATGAATACGGCGACGGTGACAGTGGGTATTGATGGACGCCAGTGGAGTTCGGCGTCAAACATTCGGAAAGATATCCACCACTACCGGGAGACTCGGAAAGGAGGCGAGAGCAACCCGGACAGAACAGACACTCAGCCTTGAACGACGTGGTGAACTCATCGTCACATATTTCGCAGCGTGGTTCGGAGTTTTTAATTCCAGACGGCCGAGTAGGAGAGCATGAACGAGAGTTCCAGCTTCGACAAGCAGTGCCTTGGACACATAACACGCGAAGTCGATGCATGGCCGTGAACAATTTGGTATACTTGCGCGCTCCAAGATTCGAGCTGACGAGGGTATCCATCTCATGCTTTGTTTCATTCAGGATCTCATCATATGCAGTTCTTTCCGCTGCGGACAATAAGAGTTTTACCACCACTGTATTCACTGTTATGCTGTGGCCGCCTTGCTTGGTTCTCCTCAGACACAAGGATCGGAGAAGCAGTCGCAGATTCTGGCTTGGGTCATTCCCACCTGAAAATAACGGATCAATAATGTACTCCTTAAATTTTGCCTGAGATCTAATTTCAAACGGGGGAATCCTGAGAAAGGACACGAGAGAACCGAGGTCCTCGAGTTTGTTCTGGATTGGCGTGCCTGTCAGACACCATCGATGACACGCTTGCAGTTGTGTGACTGCACGGAACTGCTTGCTAGCGGGTGTTCGAATCCAGTGAGCTAGGTTGACGGTTAGATATAGGTCAGAGCCAGGGATGTATATTCGGATACTCGCCTTCGTCCAATACTATGCGGAACCATTTCAGTCTACGCAGAATGCCAAGGCTCTGACAATCGCTTGCCAGTGTCGCGTATGTGGTTAACACAACATCCGATGCTAGATACTCCTTCACATCGAGTTTTTTCTGGTGCCCATGGAATATCGATAGGTGCATTGAATTAGGGGCAATATGACTAGAGCAGACATTAGCTTCCGTGGAAGTGGTTCACGGTGGGTACTCAATTACCGCTCCATTTCTGATATCCAGACATCAAAGAGTTCTTTGATACTTTTGGTTATTGATGGTTGTCGGAAAACTCAAGAAGGAAACATACGTGTCGAGGGTACAATGACGAGTGTGGTCTTAGTCGGAATCGCACAGTGATCGCCTTCCAAGCAGCGGCCGGTATATTGCATGAAATCGGTAGCCTTCTCCAGGGAAAGCACAATGGCACTTAACATTGTGAGAGTCTTTCCCAGGCCCATAGTATCCGCTATTATGCCACCAGTTGACTGCTTGGACCGGTCACTTGGAAGGTCGCTTAAGTGAATTAGGAGACCGCTAAAGTGACTACTAGCATATGAGACTTTGAGACGTGAACCTACCTTGGACTGTCTATATGCTGATACCATTCCCTTGAATTTTCAGAATCTTCTCTGCTTCGAATAAACTTGACAGCAACTTGTTGATGTCTAATTGTGTTAGATTGCCAACTTTAACTAGACAGTTTAAACGACTTACTCGAGAAGAGGTGTCAGAAGTTTCTCTGTGGCTGGGATATCACTCTCCGGGACAACAGCGTCAAGCGTGTCCAGAAGTCTTTCCACCTCTGAAGAAACTGATTGCAGACTTCTCTTCACATGATAAACTGGTCTGATAAATTGATGCATGTCTAGATGCGTGAATGAGCGCTTGAAATATTGAGGGTTGTCATATCGGACCCCAGAATCGATCGCATCCGGATGCTGAAGGTTGTATTTTAGTTTGGAAAGCCGAGAACCAACTTCCCGATAATGTCGCATGGGACCGTATATATTGATCGAGACGTTAATAGTCTCGCCTGTGCTGGGTTGATTCCCTATGAGTGGTTGCGGGACCGCTTGAAAGATTATATTTTCGAGTCCTTCCAAGCCATCAAGTGCAGCAGCGGTGACCGTATCCAGAACAGCGAATTGATTCAGGGCCTGGTCCTGGATTATAAAACAACCTTCATGCTTCCGTAAAACTAAGAAGCGTTCCAAGGAACCGGCCGATCGGCAGAACTTCTGGAAGAGTATCTTTTTTCCGCGGCGGGAGACTCGACCCTCATACAACTTGAATCACATTAGCCTGCGGCCATACTATTCCGTCTCGGTATTTGTCGTCCTACCGCGCCATAGCAAACCACCTCGTTATTCTGAACACAACCTTCAGGAGTCAGGGGAGCATGGTCCGTCTCTGAGGGAATTTCTAGGTAATCGACGTGGTCTGGTGGTCTTTCGAAGAGATCATTAGCTTAGTCACGAACGGAGAGACCTAGTTAGATTGGTCGGGATTCAAGTGATACGTACGTTAACTTAGGGGCTTTTTTGCAGGGAGTGAAACTGTCCATTGCTACATCCTGGACAGGATCCCAACAGCGCTTGAGATTGTTCATTTGGATCGAAGAAGTACCCTAACCCTTCGAGACTGTGTAGCGGGCTGTTAGAAAGATCATGTATCGAGAACAACAGAAAGTATCGGCAGAATTGCGATGACGATTTATTGCCAGCTTTTCACAGAAGAGACATGCAGAGGAACAGCCTTACTGCGGCAGTGCAAAAGGCGGTGTTTTAGGCATTGGGCATCTGGGTGGCTGTGCACTTTGTAAGGCTCATTCGAATGCTTCCAGTACTTACGAGCTTATCGACCTGCTGATAAGCATGATGATTGGCCAAGGACAAGAGGGGTTCGTGTGGACAAGGCTCTGATCACGAGGTTGACCGCTGATGCGGAACAGACGAAGAACTCCGACCCGTCGTCTCTCCCAGCTTGGCTTGCAAAACTTGATCCAGCTCGAACTGTCTACTGCCTTAAGTTACACAGTACCGGGATAATATGAGACAGGACTAATGACGTCTTCACTCATGCAACGACAACCTAGCATCGCCTTCCAAAGGGCTTTGGACAGGTTTTCAAACAGCTTGTCCAGCAGTCAGCGAGCAGAGTTTGCTGTCACTGAGTACGCTCATGTCGCGGACGCTATTGAAAAAATTCAGACAGAGCATGGATCCAAAAAACAGTTGCAGAATATGGCCCGGGTTCAGAGATTTCTTGAAGCAATGAATGAGTACGGGAAAGTCATTGAAGTCTTCCTGAACTGCAGTCCATTTGCCGCTTATATTTGGGTATGTCCTGACCTTTTCTGGAATAATAGTGACTTATCAGTTATGCTTTAGGGCCCGATAAAATTTGTTCTTCAGATTGCCAGTTCGTGGAGTGAGACGTTGGAGGTTTTGCTCAGCGCCTACGAAGATATCGGCGAGCGAGCCCCTTCTTTCTTACAGTACCAACTCGTGTTTGAGAGAAACCCTGGGATGTTAAGCACTCTGGAAAGGTGGTTTTGTGACGTGCTAGATTTCCACTTTCATGCATTGAAGTTTCTGACAAGACCAAGTAAGATTTTATGATCGTACCATACAGCCCGATATAACCCCGAGCTAATGCTATCAAAAGGGTGGAAGCAATTATTCCATTCTTCCTGGAAAACATTTAATTCACAGTTCAAACGAATTCTCGATAGCCTGGAGCGCCACAAGGACCATATTGAAAGCGAAAAAAGCACGTTGACGGTTCATGAGGTCCAAATGCTGCGTGATGATGAGGCGGCTCGGTTCAATGAATTCCGACTCAATACTATGCTTGACAAACTTGATGCCCCAAACTCGTATATTGATCAGGATACTATGTCCGAATGTCGACATCATGCCGACTCCGGTAATTGGGTATTAAACGACAAGGTATTCAAGCAGTGGCGTGAAGCGCTTGGAGGATCCAACCCTCTATTATATATTCATGGCATTCCAGGAGCAGGTGTGTTACCTCCAACTCGGCCGTAATATCTACAATGGTATTTCTAAATTTACAAAAGGGAAGTCAACTCTAGCATCCCGAATCATTGAAGCACTCAATGAAGAGGAAGAAAACCCTATTCTGTTCTTCTACTGCAGCGATCATCAAGAAGACAAGCATACATTTATCCATATTCTACGCGGATTAATAGCCCAGCTTCTCAGCAAAGACCCAGCCCTTGCGGCATTTTTCTGCGAGAAGTATACAGGCTATGATGGAAAAAGGTTCGGGTCAGCTAGTGTCATCAAGGAGGCCGCGGATATTGCATTCAGTAGCCAACGTAGTTTATACGTTGTTCTGGATGGCCTAGATGAATGCGATAGTTGCGAAGCGGAAAAGACATTGTCTTGGTTTCTTTCACGCCAGAAAAAGTCTTTACCAGGAACTGATGGCCACATACGTCTACTATGCATTGGTCAGCGAACAGATCTATTGGAGAGAATGTTGTCTTCCGCACATAAGATCTCCATGGATAACCAGCGGTGTCATAAAGAAGACATAGAGCTATACATAAGGAGCATGGCGCGGAGAATTTCTGACAATATGAATCTTAGTGCTGACATACAGGAAAAAATAATTGCTAAGGTTTCAAATGTTGCAAACGGTATGCACCTTGACTGAATCATCCTTTCCCGCCACTGAATTATATCAAACAAATATAGGCATGTTCCTATACGCAAAAGTAGTCATGGACAATTTACTTGTTCAATACACGCGCCGAGACTTGGAAAATGAAATTGCACCCGGAGTATTCCCGGACGGACTAGATGCCGCGTAAGTAGTTTGACCCTGAAAACCTACCTCAGTGTTATTACTTATCACTTGGAAACTCATACAATGAAAGATATCGTCGTGTGACATCATCAGTGCTTCACAAAGCTCCCCAAAAGCAGAAAGATATTGCTTTGCAGATATTGGGCTGGGTAGCATGTGCAACACGTCCGTTGAAGTGGCGGGAACTTCAGGCTACATTCTACATTCACCCTGAAAGGAGCGTCTCACAATGTGAGGAAGACATGCTGAGGGCTAACTGCAAACGATTTTGTGGCTCATTCGTTGACTTGCATTTTGCGAAAATGAGGGAGCCCACTGAAGCAACCGTTGTTCTAGTTCATAGTACAGCGCGAGAGTTCGTACCTCTTCCCTAAATTTTCCAGATACGTGCTAATCAAAACAAGCTACCTTGTCAGCGCCAAAATTGTAGGCCTCGGTTTCCAGCATAGTCGGATTGCCCTGTTCTGCTGCAATTATCTGCTGTCCACTCCATTCAACGGGAGGATAGATTGTGATCAAATCCAGAAATACTTTCGCTCAGGGTACTATGCACTAATGGACTACAGTGTTTCAAGTCTATTTGAACACTTAATTGGAGCATCTGAATATCTGTCTTACTCTGAAGGGAGCCGCAATGATTCAGTGCAAGCCCTTAGAGATTTTATCGACGAATACGGGTTGCAATCTGAAATCAAAAAAGTATATGGCACAGATAGTCCTAGCGACCCGGCCGAGTTTATTCGGCAGATGCCGGATAACCCGGCTACAAGATACTCAATTCTAGGCATCGAATGGCGAATATTGGCTATAAGAACAACAATAGAAAATTTTCTCGGCCGTGGACCGCTACCCGAGACGGAGAAAAGGAAACTAGATACTCTGTATGGGCCAGCGAACTTCAAATGCCCCAAGGCCTGGTGCATGAATTTCCAGCATGGCTTTGACAGACTTCCAGAACGAAACCGTCACGTCAATAGACACGAGAACCCATTTATCTGCCCTGATGAAGATTGCCCTCTTCGGGAACTTGGCTTTGACACGAAGACGAGCCTAGACCGACATGTTCGACAGTATCATTCTTCAAATCTGAAGAGTACTGAGGCTACCTTTCCACAGCGTCGACAACGGATACATGACACTCTAGGCGATGCAGCAAAACGAGGCGATTTGGAAGCGGTGCAGAAATTTATAACTCAAGGAGCAGACGTCAATCACAACACGTATCCGAAGAAAAGAGGGCGGACACCTCTCTTCCTCGCCGCGATGAATGGCCACCTTGCTGTCTGTGACATTCTGGTAAGACACGGCGCCTATCCAAGCTATCAACCCCCTACTGCGAAGGCTATTCTGTTGGCTGCCATTGAGCATGAGAAAGAGGATATTGTCCGCTATCTGATCGATGTTGTAGGTGCCCCGTGCAGATCACGTAATGAGGAGGAGTGGTCGGGCTCTATATTGCAAGCGGCAACGGCAACCGGGAACCCGGAAATCCTAAAAATTGTTTTGAATAACACAAGAGAACGCTTTCAGGCGAGTGAGATAAAATATGCTCTGCTTCTCGCCGCGGAGAGGGGATACACCGACTCGGTCAGGGAGATGATAAAGTCTAACACGATCAACTCGTTGGCCGATCTGGGACTAGGGCCAGTCGGGAAGCGCACCCCGCTACATGTGGCAGCTGAGAACGGCCACATTGGGGTCGTTCGCTTGTTGATCGACAGCGGGAAGATGTACCCAGATCCTGAAGGTACTTTTGACGGGAGCCCTGTGCAGCTTGCCATTCAGCGTGGTCATTTATCCGAGGCCATGGTGTTGTTTGAATTCGACCCGAGATTTGGTGAAGAATTGCTGCTCTTCGTTGGCGAGCGTGGCGACCACAGCTTGGCTCGTCATCTACTGAAAATGCGCGAATTTCCTATAGACCAAGCCATATACAGGGCCGCTATAAGAGGAGATACAACCACGGCTCACACATTACTTGCATCACAAACGGCGAACGGCTCTACGATAGATAATGCTCGCAAAAACAAGGTTGGCTCGGACTGGTACGCGGTGTGGAATCCGAGTGCGCACAAATGTGTCGACCTTGACCTTAGGCATGATTTCATCGTGTCAACGGACGTTACATCAGTGACATTCAGTGAAGACGGCAAGTACCTTGCAGTGTGTGGCTTGAAATTGGCATACATCTATGATCTAATGGAGGGGGACGGGGAAAGGGTTGGAAGTATCATTGTTGAAGAGGAGGATGAAGCCTGCTACCTACGCACCGCGTGCTTCAGCCCCAATAGCAACTGCCTTGTCGCTGGAGGCGACACCGACAATATTTGGGTCTGTGATCCTCTTAAAGCGGCTCCTTTGCCGATCCCCTCCAATCACACGCAATCAATCACCGCGCTTATTTTCACGCGCGATGGGCTTTTGATGGTGAGCGGAGGGAAGGACGGGTTTGTCCGATTGTGGGATGTTTCCGCGGGTTGGACACTGAAACACAGCCTCGAAGCCCCTCACGCGGTCACAACACTTCAAATTTCACCAGACAACCGATATGTTTTGGCTGGCGATATTGGCGGAGTCATATCCATTTGGGAATTGGCTACCAATGCGCTCACGAAACGTGTGGGGGGGGGCGGAAGGCCATTCATATGCTGTTGACTTTTTAACCTTCTCCTTGGATGGCCTCTCCCTTATCAGCTATAACCTCGAGAAAGCGGTAACACAATGGAATCTCTCGCTGTTCAACCCAATGGTCGTCTGTGATGAGCCTATCACCCATCAGATTGACAAGGAGGCCGTTTTTTGTATTCGTCACAGCCACAACCGTCGGTGGCTTCTGTACTGTACAATGAAAGGGGACACCAAAATACACGATTCGGTAAGTGGGGAAGTCCAATTGGTCCTCAGAGGTCATCAAGACTTGATATACTGCCTATCCTACTCTCCCTCGGGGGGCATGTTCGCTACTGGCTCGATTGATGGCCACGTAAAGATCTGGACTCTAGCAGAACAAAGTCCATAGGTATTAAATCATTAAGATCCAAAACCGACTTCGAAGCTTAAAGAACAGATGGTTGAGGCTATGAGCTTGGTAGGACTCTCCTCCGAGACAGTATTAGTATAATTACTACATTACAGTCAAGATTAGGGGTAAGTCACTACCTAAAATATCAATAAGTAGCTACTTATGTCCTTACAGGATAATATGAGTACAGAATTAGCAGACTTGTTTCAGTATGTCGATTGATTTCTCTTTAAACACATCCAAATGATTGATAATGCCTTTCTTTAAGTATATGATTTCACCACTTTTTTTTTTTTTTTTTCCATTTGGAGCTGTGAAAGTTGATGGGGAGGAATTACAACATGTAGAATATATGCGGTTTAAGGAATTTAAACACATCCATGGCACTTGTATTTTTTACCTGCGACTATCCTAGTGACAACAGCATGAAGAAAGACATTTTTATCCTAATGATCCTCTGACTACCAAATCCTATTTTCTAGTAGGGAAATCCTCACAACGTGACAACAGTCAAATGATGTCTGATAAGTTCATAAGTAGTATTATTCAATAAAGCTTTTTATATAAAAATATAATAATATAATTTAATTCTTTTTATGAATTATTTTATAGAATTTTAGATATTTAAATATAATAATATTTTCTTCTAAATATCATTAATTTATATATAAGAGATTCAATCAGATTAGTGCATATAACAGAAATTTGAATTAGATTAATATCTTTTTCTACAGACTCTAAGCCTAAATAAGTCTATTAAATATTATAAAAATAAATATTATAATAATAAGTATTACTCTAATAAGCGTTATACAAAGTAATATATTAATAATTTTATAATAAATCCTAAAGTAAGAGATTATTTATAGGCAGTTTGAGTATTTAATATATAATTATATTTACTCCAGTAATTATCTTAATATTTAATATTATTTATTTTATCTAGATTATATACTTTCAAGAAGTATTTCGTTTTATAAAAATATTAATATCTAATAATTTATACACATGCCTATAGTTACTTATAAGAAAGCAGAGGTTATATACTAGATAATAAATTATAAAAATAATAATAATATAAAAATAATAATAATATAAAAATAAAATAAATAAAAAAATAATATTATATTAATATATTTAGACCTGCGCGATTCCGCTGAGCCAGCGGATAATAAAGAAAAATAGTATTATAATTAATAGTTTTATTATAATTCTTATACATAGATGGTATTCTTTTTATAGAAATATAATAAAAATTAATAAATAAATTAATATTATATTTATTTTTAATATTATTTTTTTAGTATACCTCGTCCTCTCACCCCTCTGTGTGGCTGGTGAGATAGAAAAAAAAAGATTATAAAAAAAAAAAAAAAGATAATTTTATTATTATATTCCAATCTCCGTGATCCCGCTGAGTAAATAGATAATAAAGTAGAAAATAATATTCTTATAATACTAGAATTCTTTTTCAGAGATTAAATAATAAAATAAATAATAATATCTTTATACTACTAAGATTCCTTCTCAGGAATCAGATAATAAAGCAGGTAATAATATTCTTATATTACTAGAATTCTTTTTTAGAGAATAGATAATAAAATAAGTAATAATATTCTTATATTACTAAGATTTCTTCTTAAAAAATAAATAATAAAATAGATAATCATATTTTTATAATACTAGAAATTCTTATACTCAGAGATTTTCTAATTATTTAATATATTTTATTAACTCATCTCTCTGCGGGACTACTAAGTTTATATTTTAATAATTATTTTTAAATCTCTGTGATTTCTATAGTAAACAGATAGTTAAATAGAGTTTAAAAAATAATCAAATATTATATTTATTTATAATATTATTTTTCTTAGTATATCTTATTCTCTCATCCCTCCGTGCGGATGGTGAGGTAGAAAGAAAAAAGATTTATTAAAAAAAAAATTTTTATTATTATATTTAAACTTCCGCGATTCCTGCAGGATTCTAATAATAAAATAAATAATAATATTTTTATAATATTTAAAGCTTTTTATCTTTTTAATATATTTTATTAACTTATTTCTCCGTGGGGCTGCTGAGCTTGTATTATAATAATTATTTTTAAATCTGTATAATTTCTATAAAAAATAGATAATAAAGTAGGTAGCAGTATTTTTATAATATAATAAATTATTTATTTCCTAGTATACTTTATTATCTTGTCTCTCCATGCGGCTGGTAAGGTACAGAAAAAAAATTATAAAAAAAAAATAATAAAAATTTAATTAAATAAATAATTATTATTTTTTTTATTTTATAATAATTTATATCTTATAAAATTATCTTGGAAAAAATTATAAAATTTATATATTATATTAGCTTTCCAGATATTATACTCTTCTTTTTAAATAAAATTAAAATAATATAATTTATTAATATTTATTATAGACTTACTTCAGATTCGCTTTCTTAATATTTTAATATAGGTTAAAGATAACAGATAATATATAATTATATTATAAAAAAAATACTCTTTAAAATAGAAAAAGAAAAAGAAAAAAATAAAATTAAAAATAAAAATAACAGAAGAATACAGAATAGAAAAAAAAGAATAGAATAAATATATAAAAATATAATATTAATAAAACTTGGAAAGAACTAGAAAGAGTAGAAATAAAAAAAATAATAAATAAAAATAAATATACATTATTATTAATATTTTATTATATATAATAATTTTATTATTTTTATTTTAGATTTAGAGAGATCACAGCATAGTGGCTAATATTAAATAAATATTAAAATTATATTTTTTAATCTAAAATAATCTATTATTTACTTACTGATTATACCCAGTATACTAATACTTATATAGAAAAAAGAAATATTATTTAACAGATTAGCTATATTATATTAGAATTATTAAATATTATAAGATTAAATATTATAGGTGGTTAATCTTATTAAATAAATAGATTATATTATATTAGAATTATTAAATATTATAATTTTAATTATTATAATAATTAAAATATATAATATATTCGCTTTATCTTCTGAGGATTATATATATATTATATATATTATATATATTATACATTTTATATTCCAGGGGTTCTACTAATAATATATATTTTAAAAATTACAGAATATCCTAAATTAGAATTATTAAATATTATAAAATTAAGTATTATAGATAATTTATTCTTATTAACCAAGTAAGCTATACTGTATTAATATTATTAAATATTATAAAATTAAATATTATAAAATTAAATATTATAAATAATTATTATTACTAATTAAGTAAGCTATACTATATTAGAATTATTAAATATTATAAGATTAAGTATTACAGATAATTATTTTTATTAAACAGGCTGGCTATGCTATATTAAGATTATTAAGTATTATAAGATTAAATATTATAGGTAATTAATCCTACTAATCAAGCAGGCTATATTATATTAAAATTATTAAGTATTATAATATTAAATATTATAATAATTAAAATATATACTATTAATAAGACCCCTGGGATATATTATATATATAATATATCCCAGGGGTCTTATTAATAGTATATATTTTAAGAATTACAGAATATTCTAAATTAGGATTATTAAATATTATAAAATTAAGTATTATAGGTAATCTGTTCTTATTAACTAAGTAAGCTATACTGTATTAAAATTATTAAATATTATAAGTTTAAGTATTATAATAATTATTAGGGTTTTTATTAGGGTTTTAGGGTTTTAGGGTTTTAGGGTTTTAGGGTTTTAGGGTTTTAGGGTTTTAGGGTTTTAGGGTTT